ACAGTTGTTTTTTTTTTTTTTTTTTTCAACCATGGATCATGACAACATGTGGAGGAGTGGGGGGTGCGGTGAAGGCAGACAAAGAGTTGCTCATCTAACAAACCGTGTAACTAGTGACCTTTTTTATTAGAAATTTTTTAAATTTACATAACTTCTTTTCCAGAGTTTACAACATTTCAAAGTATACCATTGTCCAGAAAACATGCATTTCAATATAGATCTCCCATAGCTTTAAAAAAAAAAAAAACAAAAAAACTACCAAACTGATTGTCATTGAGTCCCCAGCACCCTCTAAATTTCCATAGCCTCTAAAATTGTCTGTACAGCTCTTAAATCCAATTGTGTCAGACCTGGGGTGGTCAGCCACCCCACCAATATTATTTAAAATTTACTGAGGAAGCCATGATGCTGAAAAATTGAGCATTCATACCTCAAGGTAGGACCCATATTACGAGAAGAAAGGGGGAAGCACCACTTGAGTGCAGTATTACGATGCTCATTTATTGTTAAATCGTTAAAAACAATCACAAGAAGCAAGAAAATGTATCACTCATCATGTGAATCATGGTCTGCAGCTCTCCTCTGTCCTTTGGAACGGCCACCGCTGTCCCAGGCAGTAGATGGTGATGTTGGGACATGGACGCCCTGTGACCCAGGAAGTCCTCCACAGCCAGCGTGGAACACATGGGCAAAAATGACGTCACCAAAGGAAGAGACACATGGAGAAAACAACACAGGCTATGCACTCAGAGCTAACTGATCCTTCTACAGGCCTGGGAGTGCATTACTCAGGATGATGTAAAAATAAAAATATTTTTGTAAGAGCAAATAATGATGTATCATACCCTATAGGTTCAAAACTACCAAAGGAATACAATGGAAGTAATGAATGGTGGGGTAGGGTGAGCAGAGTGGTATAGGGAGAGGAGGGAATTAACAGGACAGAAAAGATGAGACAGCATATGGTTATAGTAAAGTGTGTACTTCTTCTGTTTTTTCTTTGCGCCCACCCGGGGCTAAGTTGCCTAGGGAATATGTTTCCTGTTGGCATAAACGTTTAAAACGTTCCGCTGTGGGGAGCGCCCTAGATATGGACTGAATGATGCAGTGAGACCTGAGGTGGACTTTTGATGGTGTTCAAGAAAGTGCCTGAGGACACTTGTTTGTCACACTCATACTCTATTAGGCGTCTCTGCTTACCAAAACGTTTGCGCAGAGTTCTAATAGTTCTCCCAACATAGAAGAGCCCACATGGGCATGACAGACAGTACACCACATAATCGGTCGTGCAGTTGTAAAATTCATTAATGGGACATGTTGTTCCTTTTACCAAGAAGATTTTTTGACCATGTTTAACGTGGGCCAGTAAGGCAAAGCTTCTTCTTACATTCATTCATGCCTTTTAGGAAAAGGGTAGTGGGATGTGCTTGGGTGTTAGCGTAGCTCTTAATATTACGAGCCTTTTGATAAGACTCCTTGGGGTATGGCGTTTGAGAAGATCGTAGGAAAGGATTCTCTAGAAGTGTGGACCAATGCTTCCACAAGATCCTCTCCATTTTCTTTTATTGGACATGGTATTGAGTAGTGAACCTAGTGGGCTGCATGGAATTCGAAGGGGTGGGATCCCTAGAATTATGAGGGTGGTTGCCAGAATACAATTGGAAGGCCTCTTGGACAAGGGGAGCCGGATATCCCTTGTCCAAGAATTTTGGGCGAGAAGATCAGCATGCTCAGGGAAATCCTTATCCCAAGTACAATTGTGGCATAACCAACAAAACTGGCACTTTTTCATGTTGCACACCCAACTTTGGTGATGACAACTCTGAAAATGTATGTAAGAATTACCAGCTATCGGCTGGTAATACTCTGTGTGTCTCTTCCTCTGGTGATATCATGTACTCTCGTACTTTACACGCTGGTTGTGGACGTCTTCCTGGCTCACAGGATATCCATGCCCCAACATAACCATCTACTGCCTGGGATTGCGGTGGCGGTTCCTAAGGACAGAGGAGAGCTACGGAACCTTGACTCACAAAAAGCAAGAAAATGTATCGCTCATTGTGTGAGTATTTTTTAACTATGTGCCAATTAATGAGAATCTTATTACTGCACTCAGGTGGTGCTTCCCGCCTTTCTTCTTGTTTTAATCTCAAATGCAGAGCTGGCTCACTCTGAGGGGATGGCTGGCGCCAGTGCTTATTAGCTCTATGGACTCTATTTGGATTTTATCATTATTATCAACTTTAGAGTTCTATGCGCCATTACTTTCTTTAAATTAGCACCCATATTATGTATTCACTCTTCTGGCGTTGGGGGCGTCCATTTTCCAGTGTTTCAAAACAAGTTTACGGGCCTGAAATAATGCTCTTGAAATTCCCTCTTTAGTTGATGCCTGTGGAAACATGTTGGTAACCAGTATACCTAGTATGCTTTGTTTAGAATCTAATTTAACATTAGTGTCCATAAATAGTATTTACAACTCTTTCTCAATATCTATGCAACTTAAGCCTTTGTCAAAACATAATGTATGGTATTACGTTACCATGGCCCTTACAGGTTGGTTCCTTGGTACACAATTTAGACCGGTGTTTCTGAACCTTTTTTTGTTTGTTTGTGGGGTTTTTTTTTTTTTTTTTTTGTCAGGGCACCCTTTAACCACTTCCAGTCCAGACACTTTTACCCCCTTCCTGTCCAGGCCAAATTTTTGCTATCACATTTTGAAACAATTGCGCGGTCATGCAACACTGTACCCATAGGAATTTTTTTTTTTTTTTTTGAGACAGATAAAGCTTTATTTTGGTGGTATTTATTCACCACTGGGATTTTTATTTTTTTTTGCTATATAAATGAAAATGTCCAAAAATTTTGAAAAAAAGTTTTTCTTTAAAATTTTGCTAATTAATAGTATTTCATCATAAATCGTGGCCAAAATTTATTCGTTATCTTTTTAGTATAAAAAAAAAAATAACCCAAATTAGTTTATAACCACAAATTATAATTTTTAAACATTTTTTCACTTTTTTTTTTTTTTATATTATTATTATGTTTTTTTTTATACATACTGTCACCCTAGCAGTACAGTGTCACCATGGTGACAGTGTACTACTTGTGGGGGGTGATTTTGTGTTTTTTTTTTTCTTTTACACCGATTGCTTTTACACCCCATAAAGGCTATAAAAGCAATAATTTCTCCTTCTCTCTACTGTAGCTGCATTCTTGCAGCCATTGAGAACTACTGTGTGAGCTGTGATTGGTCACAGCTTGTCACATGGTACAAAGCTGTTGTGAATAGCCTTGTACCATGTGACCTTTGATCATTCACAGATTTCACACGTAGTAAGCAATGATGTCAGAAGTGACATCTTGCTTACTACTCTGCTTGTGATCACTGATTGGCCAATCAGTGATCACATGATGGGGACCTCGGGTCCCGTCCAACGATCGGTGTTCCACTGTGTCCGGAGGACACAGCGGGCACCGGATCGCGGTGCTGCTTGCTCCCAGGGAGCGAGCACAAGCAGGGTGCGGGGAGGCCGTTTATAAACGGCCGTCCGACCCTGCACTGCCACCGTCCAGCCGTTTATATACATGGGCCGGACGGTAAGTGGTTAAATTTCTGCACAATTTCAAGGCACCCTATTCCAAAATGTAAAAACTAAACTAATAGTTTTACATAATGCAGCAGTATTCACACACTTAGGATACCCAGCAATAGAGGATGCAAAGCAAACATGCCTTTGCACACTGGTACTGACTAGTATTCCAGTGTTTCTCTTCTCCCTCACTCCGCTAATGTGACCCCAGTGCTAATGAAAAGGGACAGGGGTGAGGCAAACAAGGATGCGTTGCTCGATGTCCTTATCAACTGATGATGCCATTGGTTATTAGAACACCAGCGGGTGAAGGATATAATGGTGCACAATGAAAACCTGTGGCTTTGTGTAATTAAAAGGCAGGCTTGGTCTACCTGCTGTCTGATATACAATTTTTAGGCATTTTGTCAAGGTACCCCAGGGTTGAATAAGGTCTGATTTAGAGGGCGTATAATGAATTTGCAGTGTTACAGAACATTCATAAAGTATACAGACCCCTTCACTTTTTTCAATTTTATGTTGCAGCCTGAGACTACAGTTTAAATTTTTTTCTCATTAATCTACACGCAGTACACCAAAACAGAAGAAAGAGGAAACTGAAGAGGGGCATTCAGCTGTTTCAGGGGAGGAATATCTGTTCCACTAAGTGCTGCCCCTGCTGCCTCTCCAGTGCAGGTTCCGGAGTTGGCATCCAAGGGATGTGATTTACCAGTCACCTGCCCTGATCGAGGGGATGCCAACTCCCCAATAGATTGGACTTGAGTCAGGCAAATTTGTGAGTTAAACAGTACTTTCTATGGTCTAAACAGACTGTTCTCCCATTAACCCCTTTTCTTTCCACATCCAATTTATTCCCTCAAGATCAAGATAAAAAAATAGCAGGAGGGCTATAAATAAGGGAAGTCGCTATTTAGGTTATTCAGGTTTGTGCATCCAACCTCTAGATAATGTATTTCCTACCTGCATGACTGGGATACCATTATTATTGGTGGTCTTTATTACCTGTGTCAAATTTAAATTTAAACAGAGCCGTATTCAATTTCAGAGTGCAGAAACTCCTTGCACCCAAGAGGCTGACTGTGGTCTGATTGGTTGTGATTTCTTTTTTCTCTGGTTAGTTGCTATTGGTTACGGCCAATTTGCGCATACTCATTGCACTTTTTAGAAATAAACTGCAGTGTACGTAGAACTGTTTATGAAAATATTATCAAAGTGCATGTTTTATCATTCTCAAAGCAGAACTATTTTGCTGATAACGTTCACTAGGATAAGAGTAATTGGACTACTTGGTGATAATGAGCTTCACACACTTGAATAAATAAGGTCCATTGTGTATGTTTTTGCACTGATTTTTTTTTTCCCACCACAATAAAATCTCACTGTCCTTGTTTTGGTTCTCTGCCATAGGGATTGACAAGGAAAACGTGGAACTGTCTCCCACCACTGGTCACTCAAACAGCAGTAGAACGCGCCATGGTTCAGCAAGCCAAGTGCAAAAGCAAAGAAGTGCTGGCAGCTTCAAACGTCACAGCATCAAAAAGATTGTGTGATTTTTTTTTTTTTTTTTTTTTCTTTTATTATTTCTTATTTATTTTAAAGTTCCTTTTCTAAAACTGACTTAAGCGGGCGGCTTATCCTTGGCCCCGGCACAATATGATGCTGCACTTAATTTTTCTTTTTTTTTTTTTACCGTTTTCCATGCAGTCAGCCATGTCGCCAGAAGATCAACGCATTGAAAGCATCGTTTGAACTTTATACCATTTGGTTTCCTTATACATTTTCCTTTGTTTTTCCTTTTCCAGTTATTTCCAATCTTTGAGGGAACCATGGTCACAAGCGTATCAATGCCTTGTGAGTTTTAGAATGAAGAAATTTTGTATTTTGATAATGGTGGCCCTGCCTTTACTGCATTAACTGTGTAAACATTAGTGGCATTCTCATGAGTCTTTTTTGCCTTGTCTTTTTTATTATTATTATTATTATTATTTGTGTTTATTTTGTTTTGCATTTAACTAAATATTAAAGCTAATCCTTTATAGTGGCTTTGGTGGGAAAAGAAACCAGTTTTAAATCCTCCCCCTTAAAAACACTTTTAGCTGTGGAATTTTTTTTACCTATTTGCTTAAAAAATAATTTCCCGCCCCAAATAAAAATGTTTTTTTTTTTTGGTTTTTTTTTTTTTTTTCTAATGGTACTTTGTTGAAACAAATATGAACTGGTGTCTGAAATGGGCCACCATACTAATTAGATTTTTGGGTACTTGCAATAAATTTGTTAAAGTAATTATATTTTTATTCCTATAAAAAATATATATATATATCTATCTATTCCAAATGTTGTTTGCGCTGTTAAAGTATTACAGCATCTCTTTCATCTGAAATGCATCAATGAGTTCTGTCCTTCCAATGCACTATTTATGAAAGGCAGAATGTATTCTAAAATTAATGTGTTTGAAATGTTATGTAAATATGTTTGTGTATTTGGGGAAAAATACTGTGGTGTTTTCAGAGTAAAGATATAGTAAGTAAATTGGGTGCATCTGAGTAGTAAAAGGGCTTTATTTCCTTTCTGCTTGATGATCGTTTCCTTAACCCTTCCAGAGAGAGGCGTTAAAAGATTTCTTGCACTTAGGGGCATAATCTGTGTTAAAGGTATATGCCCTCATGATTGGAGTGTCATTTTCAATTCTGAAAGGACATATACTTGCTCTTTGGAGCTACTCACTTTAATGTGCAATGTTAAAGTTTAAACTTGGGGGAGGGGCGTGAGGCAGGTGCCTTTGTTCAGGCCAGCAAATATAATGGTACTTTTGAACTGACAGGATCCTCCTTGGAGGAGCTGCATCATGAATTGTGCAATGCACTTAAACATTTACGTAGATCTGGTATAGTTAGCAGTCTGTTGTCTTTGCCACCCTTCAGAACTATGGTCTTTCTTGTTACCTATTAAATTTCACATCCGCTGTATTACTTGTAGTACTAAAGCTGGCTGTATAATGTAAATCCATCAAGTCACATTTCCAAAACTTACTTGTCCTTTAATGATAATGCCATTCTATTTAAAGATCAGTTACATTTTTTTTCCATATAAAATAGATCGTGTGACCAGAGAGTTACCATAGTTTTTTTTTGTCTTTAACAAAAAAAACATTTATTGTACAGGGGGCATAGAGGCAAAAACTGAACGCATGTTCTATCACTGTGAAAGATTTGAATTCTAGCATTCATTGAAGTATTAAATGACTGACTAACCATTTGATACTGTCTTGCGGATATGTGTCACTACAGCAAATCTTGGGGTATAATGCTATGTACCGGATTACTTGCAAAAAGGAGGTGATTGCTGCGCAGGGCTTTAGACACTTGTCCAGAACATTCTTAACTCAGAGGAAATCAATCCTTTTTGACAAATTTGAGCAAAAGGGAAAGACATCTAGGTGCTTGCATTTAGGGCTTAAATATATTTACTGCTGAACACATGTATAATTGAAATACTTAGAATGCTATTCTACAACTTAGATCTTGGACTAATGACCAAGAATGGCTTTAAAGTAAAACACAAAATATAGTTCATTGTAAGAAAATTATAGAGTGATTTAAGTGTATTTCAGTAAATCAAACTCCACAGCTAAACAAATATAATGGTACAAATAAGTGTTGGGATTTAATAATTATAGCACATAATCTGCATTTAACCATATGATAACGCGTATTTCACAGATGTAAATAAGTGTCTTATTTTGTTGTTTTCTGACATTGTGATTTTGTTTTGTTTACAGTCCTGAAAAAATAAAACTGTGGACAGAAACCTATTATGCAAATAGTCTGCCAAAATCCCAGTGTACTTCTGTTTAGCTGTAGCTGGTGTAATGACTTGAAGGACAAGGCTTTACATGGAAAGTGCAAAAACTTACACGTAAATGCATGGAGGATTCTCAGCACAGCTCATGTAGGGGGAAAAAACCTGGAGAAAAGGAAAAGTAAATTTGTTGTCCTAGCTTGTTCAGAATCTGTGGACAGCAGCTTCTTTTTACCTTTTTTCTAGCTTGAATATGTGAGCTGCTCTATGGAATGAAGTCATTTTATAATGAAGTAACACATTTGGAGGAATGTTTTGCTAACAGACTGATGGGCTTCAATATCTACATCAGAGATGTTTTTGAATATACAGTTCCCATAAAGTGCTGCGTTTATTTAAATTATTATTATTTTTGGTAATGCAAATGACAACCATATCTATCTGCCTGTCAAGAAATTACATAGATAACTAGTAGTTCTTTAACTGCAGCAGATTTACTAAGCAGTGTTTCTTCCACACCCTTCTCTAGCATATAGGATCCAAGTTGCTGAGAAGACACAGGTTGATTATGTACTTGGGATATTTTTGCAAAGCAGGGTAGGTTACTCTCCAGTAAAGATAAGAATTTATTTTGTCTGAAGAATAAATGTAGTAGAAAAAAACTGGTATCATCCTCAGTGCATACATATAGTCAAATAAGTAAGCCCACTACCCTAGCCTCATTCTCACTTTGATGTGAAGTGTATCCAACACAGTGTTTTACAGGCAACGTTTTGACGGTGGCTGTACCTCACAACTATAGAAAGAGCAGAAAGCCATGATCTGAATGCTGTGGATAGTGTGTGGGTCAGGTCACTGTATCACAACACTCCAGCTTAATTCTATGAAGTTTGAACTGAGCCATTTTGGTAATCATGGCTAAAAAGCCACAGTGTGAATGAACCTTTAGACATAAAAGGTGACAAGAAATACTTTTTGCTGCTGAATCTACTGGTGAGGATCATAGTGATGGCCTTGTGATTAAATTCATAGGCCATGTGATCCCTACCTAAAGGAAAGGTCATAGCAACTTGCTGCAAGTGACTTTTGGGCAGTGAAGGTAGTTCATGTCTTTTCTAACCTTTTATTTAAAGGAGGAGGGTTGTGGGAGGGATCTTACTTGACTATAGGGCCCACTATAAAACTTTGTGCCAAGAAATAACCTTTTTTTCTTGTCCCCCTGAAAAGTCTACTTGTATGCAAGTCTAAGTTCACCCTAGAAATATTCTTTGAACATTAAACAGCTACATAACACTTGATAAATGCATAGCTCCATGTTTAACCGCTTCAGCTCTGCCCCATAGCAGAAATACTGCTACAGGGTGGCAGCTGTGCGCAAAATCACGAATATATAAATGATTTTGCATTTCCAGGTAGGGGGGCGTACGCCCTACCAGTGCTGCCATTCGTGGCTGTCAATCACCAGGTCTCGACTGGTGATTACTTGCTGGTGCCCAGTGATTGCCAAAGATCTCCGGGGGGGGGGGGGAGGGGGGTGTAAGAACTGTTAGTAAACAAAACAGTTATCCTCCCTGTCGGCTCCAGCACACTGCTTTGCATGGCTGTGCACAGCACGACCATGCAAAGCAGTGTGCTTACAGTGAAGCACAAACACAGAACATAGTTAAAAACAGCACACAGTTAACCCTTTGATCACCCCAGATGCTAAGCCCTTCCTGCCCAGTGCCATTAGTACAGTGGCAGTGCTTTTTATTAGCACTGATCACTGTATTGGTGTCACTGAGGATGTCATTGACACCAAGTCAGTCCCCCCCCAGTATCAGAATGCCTGCCGCAGTCCCGCTGTAAGTCGCTGATCGCCACCATTGCTAGTAAAAAAAATTTGAAAAGACCCAGTATGTATACCGCCTTTTTGTAAACACTATAACTTTCATGTAAACCAATTAATGTACACGTATTGGGATTTTTTTTTTTTTAGCAAAGACATGGAGCAGAATACATTTTGGCCTAAATTTGAGGAAATTTGATTTTTTAAATTTTTTTACTGGACATGTTTTATAGCAAAAAGTCAAAAATACAGCTTTTTTTTTTTTTTTTTTTTTTTTATAGCTCAAAAAAAAGAGATCAAATACCACTGAAAGAAAGCTCTATTCATGGGGGAAAAGGGACATAAATTTAATTTGGGTGCAGCATTGCATGACTGCGCGCAGTTGTCAGTTAAAGTAACGCAGCGCCATAATGCAAAAAATGGCCTAGTATGGAAGGGGGTAAATCCTCACGAGGGCAAGTGGTTAAGTAGTGTTTGTGCTCTAGTATTCCAGCTGGCAACTGCCAGGCACTACAATATAAGTTATAGTGTCACTCAGCCCCCCCCCAGTACTATTGATGTCTAGTGATTGCAAAGCCTGACTGGGAAATGATTGCTCTGTACCCTGATGCTGTCAAAGATGTACATAGCCAAAGGGGGGGGGGCTGAGAAACCCCATGAGTTGCACTGCATTGCTGTTAATTGCTGGCAGTTTCCAGTGCTGATTGCTGGACAAACAGAAGTCAAGCATGGTGCTATGCATTTATCAAGATCTAAGTTATCAAGCTGTATGTATTGTAAGGCAAATTCTACCTTAAGAGTAAACAGTCCATGCAGACAAGGGGCCCAAGAATTTTACATTGCCCTGTGTTTTTTTGCCAAAATACTTATTAATGTGATTGGCACACCTTCAAGCCTGCCCGATATACTTCCATATTGTTTACATTCACTTATCCCCAGTATCTTCCAGGAAACAACAGAGTTTGTTCTCAGCATCACAGCAATGTACCTTGCCCCCCCCCCCCCCAAAAGAAGCGCATGCACATTATGCACTCCTTCCATGTTCAAGTAATGTTGGGCCACTGGAGAGAACGTTGTGTGCATGTGTCTAGGAAAGAGCACATCATGCACATGCTCATCTTGGAAAATAGAAGCACAGTGCTGTGATGCTGAGAATGGTTGTCTAAGCTCTGCTGTGTCCCAACACTATTCGTGAAGACAAGGGTAAACAATATGGGAGTATATTGGGCAGGCTGTTGGGATGCCAGCGGGGACCTACAGGTGTGCCAATGACAATACACTGTATTTTGCAGAAAGGCACAGTGCATTGAAATATACTGGGGCCCCATGTCTACATGTGTGATTTTACTCATAAGGTGGACTAATGCACATCGAGTAATTCTACGGTGAACGTCCACTTTAACAGACATGCATTCCTAATAGTGTAGATCACTTTATACATTCTAGTCTATTGAACAAGTTCTATGTACTGGAAGTATATTTATATAGTTCTGTGTACCATTTCTGTTTCTGTACCTGCTTACCCGGTTTGGTAAAGAATATATGGGCACCAACATAAAAATGTAAATTCAAGTTTAATAAAATAATACAATCAGTTTGAGGTATAAAATGTCTCTAAATGATGTATTTCTCTACAACATTTTTACATATATTGTTTCTGTGGCTTTTTTCTTGTCCTGTAGTTGCTTCCTTACCAAAGTCTTCACAGAAGCAAAGAGGTAGCAACAGACCTTTCAATATGTTTTTTCACAGAATGTGGAAACGTTTTTAAGCAAGCGTTTAAATATTCTCCAGTACTGTATTTTTAAAGCCTTGTCAAGTTTTTATTGCACTTTGTGTCTTCCTGTCCTAATGACACCCATACTCTGTTTTTTTTTTCTGGTGTTTCTTTCGAAGAGGGTGTCAAGGGATATATCCCAAATGAGGTCACATACAGCAATAAAAGCTTGACAGAAGTTTTCTCACTCAATGTATTTGAACAGTAAAAGATATTGTTTTGCTGAAGTGTGCTTTAACTGTAAGAAAAGAAAAATATTTAAAAACTCTGCGCCGCATTTTCCAGGTTATATTTTGATTAATTCTGCCATCAGATAAAACGTATAATTGTGAGAAATATTGACTGTTATTGGTTTGTATGAAAAGCAAATGGTGCCCATAGCAAACCTACACTTGTACTCAAATCTGCTGTATAAAAATGACAGGCACAATCTGATTGGTTTGTCATTTCTGTAAAATGTATTCTGTTTTAAAAAAAAAAAAAAAAAAAAAAAAAAAAAAGACCAGGAAACCTAAGATTTGCCTATTTTCTAGAAACATGTACCATTCATACTACATATTTACCCTTAGACACACCTAATAAACAGTTTGAATCTCTGATGTATATATTGGTTTCAGTCTGTGTAGATGGTATTGCAAGCCTGGGTAATGTCCTGTTCCTGGTGGGTGTGGGCAGTCTGTAAGGTTTTTAACATTCAATTTTAGGCAGTTTTTCCCTCCCTCTTAAGCATGTGTTATCCAATGTTATGCAACAGACTTTACCACAGAAAGTCACTTTTAAGTGTTAGCAACATTACTTTTTTAATGCAGTAAATTCATCTGTAAATATTTTTTGTGTAAAATTTGACAGAAAGGTATATTTACTACACTGTAAATACATGTGACAATATATTGTATTATTTTGCTTTTTTGTAAAGCAGTTAGTTGCTGTACATGTATAACATAAAAAATTTGAATATTCTAGTGTTAGTAATTGTTAACTTCTCTCCTTCCTGCTGTTGAGTATGTCATTTAAATGAAAAAAAAAAAAAACATGATGCTGTGTTCTAAAAACTTTCACTGTGTATGATATATTATTTCCTTTCGGGCCATACAGTTTCAGCTGTTCCTTTACTCACTATCCTGTTAATATTGTAAGCAAGTGTATGCCAGCAGGAATAAAACTGCCACCGCCAGCCAAACTGGCACCTAGATACAGTTAGCAGATATGATTTATCATAACTGTTTTCTCCCCAATGTTCCCTCATGTATGTACATCCCCTTTTTTGAAGTAAAATGTAAATTCAACCTGCTATCACGTGTCTTTGTAATTATTACTATCCACTTTTTTTTTATTTACAAGTTTAAATCAGTATTTTTTGCTATAAAATTCTTATAACCCCAAACATATTATATATATGTGCCGGCCACTAGCTGAGGGAAAAAAAAAAAAGATACCGGGGTTATGCATGATCTCTTCAGCCTTAACCCCAGTAAACCACAACGTGTATATATATATATTGCAGTTGGCAAGTCGCTATCATGACAATCGGCTGTGATAAATAACTATCTAATCTCTAGTGGCAATATTTCATTACCAGAATGTCCTGTTTTGACAAACTGGCATAGCCATCAGTGTCACATTGATAAATTCTCTACAATGTACACTTAAACTGCAAATGCAGTTGCAGTGACACTTATTATTGCCTTTTGGGAGAGGGATTTGACACATTCAGTCCGCTTCAAGTCCGGACACTTTCATGCCCTTCCTGTCCAGGCCAGTTTTCAGCTTTCAGTGCCATCACACTTTGACAATTGTGCGATCATGCAACACTGTACCCATATGAATTTTTTTGAGACAGATAAAGCTTTATTTTGGTGGTATTTATTCACCGAGGTTTTTTTTGCTATATAAATGCAAAATTTTATAAGAAAAACACTTTTTTAAAAAATGTTTGGACTTTTTCAAATAAATATTTGCTTCATAAATCTTGGCAAATTATATTCATGTTAACTTTTTAGTAAAATAAATAACCCAAATTAGTTTCTAACCAAAAATTATAATTTTTCAAAAACATTTTTTTTATTTTTTTTATTTGTTTTGTTTTTTTAACATACTGTCACCCTAACAGTGACACTGTACTACTTGTGGGGGGGAGATGAAGAATTTTGTATATTTTTTTTTTTACACTGATTGCTTTTACACCCATGAAGGCTGTAAAAGCAACCATTTCTCCTTCTCTCTGGTTGCATTTTTGTCACATGGTGCAAGGCTGTTGTGAATAGCTTTGTACTATGTGACCTCTGTGACCATTCATAGATTTCACAAGTAGTAAGCAATGATGTCAGGAAGTGACATCTTGCTTACTACTGTTCATGTGATCACTGATTGGCCAATCAGTGATCACATGATTGGGACCTCACACAGAAATCGGTGTTCTGCCGTGTCCTCCGGCTGTGAATGCGGCTGCTGTTTATGTACATGGGCCGGACAGGAAGTGGTTAAAAGGATAAGTTCACCTTTTGGACAAAAATAATAATTGCACATTTTTTTTGCAGGTAAAAAAATGTGCATTTATTATTTTTGTTCAATGGAGCCTGGAAACCATTGCACCAGCAATCAGTAGATCACTGATGCCATGCAGGTCTCCTGCAGACCTGTCAGTATATCTGCTTGCCATATGGATTGTACAAGCAAGCAAATGTTCTGAGAGGAAGCTTCAATGAACTACCATGGCACGCCACAGCGTCATGGTAGTTCATTGAAAACTACAAACCCACAACCGCCAAGGCTGTCGGAACTTGCAGTTCATTCATGGAAGTCAATGAATGATGCGGCCATGTGGGCGGAGCCCCGCATGGCCACACTGGTTTCAGATTTTACATATCTGTCGGGGGGGGGGGGGGGGCAGGCGTGGCTGCGGTTATAGGAACATGTAACATGTTCCAAAGGTGAACTTCTCACTTAACCTGCATACTATGGTACCGTCTGGTAGACATGAAGTAGTTGAAGCTCATCTTTTCAATATTAATGTTGACAAAGCTGTCACTGCAGCACACATTGAGATCAGTGCATGTGGATGAGATTGGTCTCCTGGGAATTGTAAATGACATCACCTACTCTGATTGACTGGACTATACACAAGTGACAGGTCTGGCTCTCGAGTAATGTTAGTGTATGGAAAGCAGTCAGAGGACTACAGCTTTGACTTTTATACTATGAATCAAAATATACATGTTCTTAACCACTTGCCTACAGGACACTTATACCCCCTTCCTGCCCAGGCCAATTTTCAGCTTTCATTGCTGTCACACTTTGAATGACAATTGCGCAGTCATGCAACACTGTACCCATATGAAATTTTTATCATTTTTTTGTGACAGAGCTTTCTTTTGGTGGTATTTAATCACCTCCTGGATTTTTTATTTTTTGCTAAACAAACCAAACTGAAAATTTTGAAAAAAAAAAAGTTTTTTTAATTTTTGTTATAAAATTTTGTAAATAAGTGATTTTTCTCCTTCACTGATGTGCGCTAATGAGGCTGCAGAGATGGGCACTGATAGGCTGCACTGATGAGGAGGCACTGGTAGGTGGCATTGACAGGCATCACTGATGGGCACTGAAAGGCAGCACTCATATATGGCACTGTTAGGTGGCACTGATAGGCAGCACTGATTGGCATTGATAGGTGGCACTGATAGGTGACACTGAAAGGCAGCTCAAATGGGCACTGATATGTGGCATTGATGTGCACTGGTAGGCACTAATATGTGGCATTGATGGGCACTGGCAGGTGGCATTGATGGACACTGACAGGTGGCACTGCTGGGGATACACTGATCATCAGTGCCCTGATGATCAGTGTACATGTTTCCTCTGAGGGATGCCGATTACCGGCGCTCCACTCCTCACGAGATGTTGACGTGACAGCTCGTGAGAAGTGAAATAACGATAACCGGCATTTCCCTATTTACATGCGATCAGCTGTGATTGGACACAGCAGATCACATGACCGAGCTAACATCTTCGGCTCTTTCCGTTGATCCGAGGGACACAGCGCACCACCAATCACCATGCCCCCATATCCGTGCATGCGCGGTTAGAGTGGGATGATGTTCTCCCAGTATGAGAGAACCACCTTGCGCCCGTCATTACCTTATATGGCGGGCGGGAGGAGGTTAAAGAAGCTATATGTTTCAACTAATTTTGCTAGAGGAAATATACCCTTGTAAAGCACTCAGAAAGCTTTATATGCAGGTAGGATAAACGTTACAATAAATGGTGATAAGGAAACAGGTCCTAAGGGAAATGTTGACATTTCCACTTGAAAATTCTTGTTGCCTGATTATCATGTTGCTCTAGTTAACCCAATGTGTTAACTTACTGAACTGGAACAAATACATACAGTGGATATAAAAAAGTCTACACACCCCTGTTAAAATGTCAGGTTTCTGTGATGTAAAAAAATTAGACAAAGATAAACCATTTCAGACCTTTTTCCACCTTTAATGTGACCTATAAACTGTACTCTGTAACTCAGTTGAACAACAAACTGAAATCGTTTAGGTGGAGGAAAGTAGAAAAAAAAAAACTAAAATAATATGGTTGCATAAGTGTGCACACCCTTAAACTAATACTTTGTTGAAGCACCTTTTGATGTGATTCGAGCACTCAGTCTATCAGCATTGCACATCTTGACTTGGCAATATTTGCCCACTCTGCCTTGCAAAATACTCCAAATCTGTCAGATTGCGAGGGCATCTCCTGTGCACCCACATATTTTCGATTGGATTCAGGTCTGGGCCTTTCCAAAACTTTCTTCTTCTTCTGGGGAAGCCATTCCTTTGTTGATTTGAATGTATGCTTTAGGTCATCATAGTGAAAGATGAAGTTCCTCTTCATGTTCAGCTTTCTAGCAGAAGCCTGAAGGTTTTGTGCCAATATTGTCTGGTATTTGGAACTGTTCATAATTCCCTCTACCTTGACTAAGGCCTCAGTTCCAGCTGAAGAAAAACAGCCACAAAGCATGATGTTGCCACCACCATGCTTCACTGTGGGTATGGTGTTCTTTTGGTGATGTGCAGTGTTGTTTTTTGCACCAAACATACCGTTTGGAATTATGGCCAAAAAGTTCAGCCTTGGTTTCATCAGACCTTAACACATTTTTCCACATGCTTTCGGGAGACTTCAGATGTGTTTTTGCAAAATTTAGCTGGGCTTGGATGTTTTTATTTGTAAGAAAAGGCTTCCATCTTGCCACTCTACCCCATAGCCCAGACATATGAAGAATACGGGAGATTGTTGTCACATGTACCACTCAGCCAGTACTTGCCAGATATTCCTGAAGCTCCTTTAAAGTTGCTGTAGGCCTCTTGACAGCCTCCCAGACCAGTTTTCTTCTTGTCTTTCCATCAATTTTAAAGGGACGTCCAGTTCTTGGTAATGTCACTGTTGCGCCATATTTTCTCCACTTGATAATGACTGTCTTCACTGTGTTCCATGGTAAATCTAATGCCTTGAAAATTCTTTTGTACCCTTCTCCTGACTGATACCTTTTAACAATGAGATCCCTCTGATGCTTTGGAATCCCTCTGCAGACTATGGCTTTTGCTGTAGGATGTGACTAAGAAAATGTCAGGAAAGACCTACTAGAACAGCTGAACTTTATTTGGGATTAATCAGAGGCACTTTAAATGATGGCAGGTGTCTACTGACTCCTATTTAACATGATTTTGAATGTAATTGCTTAATTCCGAATACCGCTACATTCCCAGTTATAAGAGGGTGTGCACACTCATGCAACCGTATTATTTTAGTTTTTTATGTTTACTTCCCCCCCCCCCCCAAAAAAAAATAAAAAAATTCAGTTTTTCAACTGAGTTGTACAGTTTATAGGTCACATTAAAGGTGCAAAAAGTTCTGAAATTATTTATCTGTCATTTTTGTTACATCCCAGAAACCTGATATTTCAACAGGGTGGGTAGACTTTTTATATCCACTGTAGATCAGGATGATAAATTCACTTACTGTACAACGAGTGCAAAAACCTCTAACCATGAATTTGAAAATAACAGTAAAAGCAAGCAATAAGGTGGTATGAATGAAGTCAATATAAATGAGTAAACATAAAATCACCTATAAGTAATAAGGTAGCCTCCCTAGCGGTCTGATTATGTCAGTATTTCTGTGCTCAAAGCGGTACATTTTTTTGCATGGAAATATGTATTTTTTTTATTGTAGGCCTGTAATTTTTAGGAATAACTCACTGAAATCTTTCCGAACAAGAGTCTAGTAAACATCCCGGGTATGTTAAAGTTTGAAACACGAAATCATAAATTATAATTTAATAAATAATCATAAAAAATAATATAATAATAAATTTAATTCAATAATATAATCAAACCAAAAACACTGAAATTTGAAATATAGCACCAAGTTAGCACATTGCTGAGCAAAGTCGCAAAATCGTTTTCAGTGTCTGATGACGAATTTCCCCACGAATCATCACTCAATTCTGCAAGTGGTTCTAATTTACTATCGCTGTTCTCTAGCTGGTCTAAAACCGCTTTTGACCTAAAGGGACACATTTTGGACACCATGGACGTTTCTGAGTTTCCAGGCAGAAAGAACGGTAAAAATGCAGGCAGGGCACAGGACAAAGCACTAGGGACAAGATGTATGTGAAATGCTTTGATACACTAAAAATCACACAGTAAAACATTACTGTATTTAGTGAAATGTCACTTTTTCAAATTTTTTAATTTCCCGCCGTTCTGTCCCCGTACGTCCTAACGTCGCAGGGAACGGAACCTGGAAGACAGATGCCGGCATCGGCCGGAGGACATTGCCGGGGACACTGCAGGAGGGACAGCGCGGGAGCGCAGGACAAGGTAAGAAAAGAACAGATCCCGGAGCAGCACTGCAGGGTATTCCCGAGTCTAGCTCGGGGTTACCGCTTGTGGTGCTGAAACTTTACCCCGAGCTACACTCGGGAATACCGCCAGGGAGGTTAAAGCCCTAAGCCAAAAACCTTATATAGATATAAATCTAAATAATGATGTGATAATAAACGTTCACTCCCAAGAAAAATGTTCAGGGCTCATGATCTCCAAATAATATGAGATCATAAGCACAGGGTACACCCACAATAGCTCATTCCAGGGTAAGATGATAACCTTCACGCCCGGGGTCCTTCACTCACTGTCCAGAACAGTGGTTCTTAACCTTTTTGGAGGTACTGAACCCCACCAGTTTCATATGCGCATTCACCGAACCCTTCTTAATTGGAAAAATAAAATATGATTTTTAAAATTCAAAACATAGGTATATATTTATACATAGGTGCACAAAATGAACAAAACCATTAAAACATGATTTTCACACAAAAACAAAATAATGAATATTTACCGCAAATCAGTGTGACTTCTGCTGTTGTCTTTCAGAGGCCAGTTCAGAAATGCGCGGCATTACCTTGGCAAGTGCCACTCTCATGTCATTTTCGCAACAAAGTCTGTTCCTTTTCTTCGTCTTTATGTCCAGCATCCTCGAAAAGGATTGCTCGCAAAGATATGTTGTAACAAACGGTATGAAAATTCATCCCATATAGTAATTCATCCCCCCTATAGTAATTCATCCCCCCATATAGTAATTCCTTCCCCCCTATAGTAATTCATCCCCCATATAGTAATACATCCCCCATATAGTAATTCATCCCCCATATAATAATTCATCCCCCATAGAGTAATTCATCCCCCCTATAGTAATTCATTCCCCATATTAATTCATCCCCCATATTAAGTCCCCCCAAGTCCCCCCTGTGTCAATTCACTTACCTTTGCTCCGCGCGTTCCTCTCGCTGTATTCCCGCGCCGTTCCGGTCTTCAGGGCGGACTGTGAGAGGAGCCTAGCTCCTCTCACCTTCGTCACGCTGCCCCGCCTACACACATCCTGACAGCCAATCACTGGCTATCAGGATGTGAGTGGCAGCGAGACTGGCCAATCATTGCATTTGAGTCCCTGCCGCCCGAGAGGAGGGAGGGGAGCGGGCGCCCGGCACACAAGAGCCGCGGCTTGCCGACCACTGGGCTAAGCGATGTTGCATGACCACCTGCAGCCAATGATGGACAAGCGGGGCATGTCATCACAAATCATATGAGTCGGGTGTGGGTCACCTCCGCCAAACCCCCGAGACTGACTCACCGAACCCCTGGGGTTCGATTGAACCCAGGTTAAGAACCACTGGTCCAGAAAGTACAATTATCCGCAATAATGTTCAGAAGAAAACACAAAAGACCATGACGTGATATTTCTAAAAAAAACACAATTTCTTCTGTACAAGAAATGTCTTCAGAGGAGAGAAAGAAAGGCCACTGACGTCTCAACAGTGTTTAAATAGCCTTACAAATGAAGGAAACCAGCTGAAAATAATGAGAACCGGAATACCACCGAACTGGTAGTGATGAACTACTGATAACACAAAACAAAAACTGTATATACCGTACTCGAAAAAACAATATCAATGGTAAATTTTAAAAAAGGACGGGCTATTCATTACCCAAATAAAAACAAACAAAACGGCCATTATATTGGAGTCCATAAACATAATGACAAAGGCCACATTTATGCAGCCCTTTGGAACCTTTTTGGATGTCAAATATCAAAATATGAAAAACAGAACATATTTGGTTTTACGGTACTCTGCTACAACCAGCGAAAAATATGACGCCTAAGAATAACCAGCATCAACTACAAAAATGATAAAAATTACATAAACCTACAAATTTACATAATACATTGATAAAAACAATAGTAAGGGACTATTAAATTAGGTTTTATCAAGACCAGATTCACTACAAAAAATAATCATAACAATATTATAGGTAAAAAAAAAACAGTAATAGGTAATACAGATAAAATACTGGGTATTTTGGGGGGTTTTGCTATCTATCTCTGATTAGGAAGATTTCCCTTTCCTTCCTGGCCCACAGCCACAACAGGAAGAGGACACCAGAACTAGTGGCCCAATTAGTAGATTTCCCCTCTATTGACAACTCAAAATTTGGGATTTAGGTGTCCATTTATGAACCAGCGGTAATAGATCGCTGCTCAGTTCTCCGGCATTCTCGGAGAACACAGTTCTCCTGTGAATGCAGTTTATGAAGCAGTTCTCCGAACGAAGGGAGAACGATCTCCAAACGCTGGAGAACGGTCTACAAACTCTGGAAAACGGCTGATTTTACTATAATCTCGCGAGATTACAGTAAAAGATCAGTTTACTAAACAGAGGTAAATTATCTCTGCTTAGTTTGCGGTCCCTCTGATTCTCCAGCTCTGGGCTGGAGAATATGGAGGGAGAACACAGATCTCCAGAAAAGGGCTGACATGATCTCCTGAGTGTCATAAACTGTGAATGACCAGAGAATATCTGAGATCTGTTGAATCGCAGCTATTCTCTGTGTCATAAACGGACACCTTAATTTTGACACTCATGAGAATTGTTATCAGGGCAAATAGAGCAGGTGAATATCCCTTTAATACGTATAAAAAGGCTTAATAGACACAGCCAAAAAAAAAAAGGAAAGTTGCCTCACAGGTCAAATGTGGTTTAAAACACCACTGATTTTATTAGGCAAAATATGAAACATACAAAAATGTAGTTTATCCACATCTGCATAACACTGTTGTCATAGTTACAAGTAAAGGTTACAATGTAATGGTTAAATTGCATGTCAACCATTACCTGTAATTGCGACAACAAGGTTGTTTAGGAGTTGGTTAGGTCTCCAGCAGCATTGTAATTACTTCCCAACCTTATGATATTGTCACCTGAGTATGGTCCAGATCTTTCCAGGAAGGTATTTTATCACAACACTGTCATTTTTAAAGGGGTGAGGAGTTGTGGATATGCCCTATTTGTGTATGTTTGATATTCTGCCTAATACAGGTGCATCTCAATAAATTAGAATATCATCAAAAAGTTAATTTATTTCAGTAATTCAGTTCAAAAAGTGAAACTCATATATTATATAGACTCATTACACACAGAGTGATATATTTCCAGCATTTCTTTCTATTAATTTTGATGATTAGGGCTTACAGCTAGTGAAAACCCAAAATTCAGTATCTCAGAAAATTGCTAAAGAAGCTGGCTGTTCAGAGTGCTGTATCCAAGCATCTTAATGGAAAGTTGAGTGGAAGGCATAAGTGTGGTAGAAAAAGGTGCACAAGCAACAGGGATAACCGCAGCCTTGATAGGATAGTGAAGCAAAGGCCATTCAAGAATTTGGGGAGATTCACAGGGAGTGGACTACGGCTTGTGTCAGTGCTTCAAGAGCCACCACACAGACAGATTCCTTGTGTCAAGCCACTCCTGAACCCGAGACAATGTCAGAAGCGTCTTACCTGGGCTAAGGAGAAAAAGGACTGGACTGTTGCTCAGTGGTCCAAAGTCCTCTTTTCAGATGAAAGTAAATTTTGCGTTTCATTTGGAAATCAAGGTCCCAAAATCTGGAGGAAGAGTGCAGAGGCACAGAATCCAAGTTTCTTGAGGTCCAGTGTGAAGTTTCCACAGTCACTGATGATTTGGGGAGCCATGTCATCTGCTGGTGTTTGTTCACTGTGTTTTATCAAATCCAAAGTCTGCACAGCCCTCTACCAGGAAATTCTAGAGCACTTCATGCTTCCCTCTGCTGATCAGCTTTATGGAGATGCTGATTCCATTTTCTAGCAGGACTTGGCACTTGCCCACAATGCCAAAAGTGTACCAATACCTGGTTTAATGATCATGGTATCACTGTGCTTGATTGGCCAGCAAACTTGCCTAACGTAAACCCCATAGAGAATCTGTGGGGTATTGTCAAGAGAAAGATGAGAGACACCAGACCCAACAATGTAGACAAACTGAAGGCCACTATCAAAACAACCTGGGCTTCCTTAACACCACAGCAGTGCCCACAGGCTGATAACCTCTATGCCACACTGCATTGATGAAGTAATTCATGCAAAAGGAGCCCCAACTAAGTACTGAGTGCATACTATATTGTACATGGATATACTTTTCAGTAAGCCAACATTTATGTATTAAAAATCCTTTTTTTTAATTGGTCTTATGTAATATTCTAATTTTCTGAGATACTGAATTTTGGATTTTCATTTTGTGTAATAAATCTATATAAAATGAGTTTCACTTTTTAAATTGAATTACTGAAATAAATTAACTTTTTGATGATATTCTAATTTACTGAGATGCACCTGTAAAAACAGTGGTGTTGTAAACCGATTTTGGCCTGAGCAGTAACATTCTTTTTTTTACTTTGTCTATTAAAGTGACACTAAAGCTTTGGGTGTTTTTTTTTTTTTTTTTTTTTTTAATAACACATGTCTATACTTACCTGCTCTGTGCAGTAGTGTTACACAGAGCAGTCCAGATCCTCTTCTTTTTGGGTCCCCGCTGGTGCTCCTGGCTCCTCCCCTTCAAATAATGCCCCCCAGGAAAAGCCGTTAGCCCTGGGGGCACCACTGCATGCTTGTCCCCGAGCCGCTGCTCTATGTGTCCATAATATGATATAGAGAGCCATGGCTCAGCCCTGTCCCCGCTCTCTCCTCATTGGTTCACTGGCTGTGAGTGAGCCCATTGGCCCCCGCTGTTGTCTCAGTCAATGAGGAGGAAAAGTCACCAGACAGCAGAGGCTGTCGAGAACACCGCTGGATTAGAGGGAGCTCAGGTAAAGATGGGGTGGCCGCTGCACACAGAAGGTTTTTTTATCTTCATGCATACATGAAGGTAAAAAAAACTTGAGCCTTTAGAACCACTTTAAGCCTTTTTTTGCTAATTGTACTGGAACTTCACTCTCTCTATCAACATTGACTCTTCTGTATCCCCCCCCCCCCCCCCCCCCGCTCTCTCCTAACTGTCTCATTGGCTGTGATTAACAGCAGCAGGAGCCAATGGCTACCTCTGCTGTGTGAGCCAATGAGGAGAGAGAGACTCAGCTCTCATGCACATCGCTGGATTGACATGAGGCGCAGGTAAGTATTAGGGAGGCCTAGGTGGGGAGCTGCACCCATAAGGTTTTTTTTACCTTCATGCATAAAATGCATGAACATAAAAAAAAGCCTTCTGCCTTTAGAACCACTTTCTCTATGGAACACTATACTACAAAATACTCTCACAAATGCGGGCCATTGATTGCAAACAAGATTTGTTAATTTGCACACACACAAAAAGTATTTTTCCTAACAAATTAATTCAAGAGCATGTTGCAAAAATGAATACACCCCAATGAAAGTCTTAGGAGCAAAGCTAAATTTTAGACAACAAAATCCTAATTAACAAGAATCCAACTACAGGTGAGTCGAATTATTCATTAAACAGGTGTCCAGCAGACAGTTGTTTATAAAAGGGCGCTACTTAACAAAGAAAACCCCTTCCCATTTTATGCTGTCAGCAATGGCACCACATGGAAGAGAAATGACACAAGGACTGAGAAAGAAAATAATTTCTTTACACAAGAAAGGTGAAGGCTACAAGAAGATCAGCAAAGCTTTACATATCAGCCAAAACTGTAGCAAAAGTGATACAAACATTTAACAAAGATGGAACTGCAACCATTTCACAGACATGTCCAGGCTGTCCATGCGTGTTAACACCTCGACAGGAGCGTCTTCTGATGAGAAGGATTGAAGAAAAACGCCATGCAAGTTCACTACAGTTCTCCGTGCCCTTGGTCATCGTGCACTTTTCCAACATGAAAATGATCCAAAAAACACACATCTAAGGCTACTTTTGCATTTCTGAAGAAGAACAGGAAGAAAGTGATTCAGTGGCCAAGTAGGTCTCCTGATCTGAACCCAATCGAACACCTATGAGTAAATTAAGTTCAGCATCCCTCTCCATCCAGCATCCAGTCTCTAAAAGAGGTTTTTCTTGAAAAATGGGAAAAAGATAGATGTTGCAATATGGCGCCAACTTGTTCATTCCATGCCTAGAAGACTTGGTGCTGTTCTTACAAATCATGGAGGTCATACAAAATATTAGATGGAGTAGTTTTTGTTGTGGGGTGTATTCATTTTTGCATCAACTAACTTGAGTAAAGCTGAAGTATTTGTAATGTAAGTTATATTAGTAAAGTGTTACTAAACCCAGGACCCTGCATTCACTATATCTGGTCTCCTGCAGTACACACAACATGGAAATGCAATTATTTTAGTAAATATAAACTGCTAAATACCTTTTCTCATCAGCAGTTAGAGCAGTCTTGTGACTTCAGCAGAGCACTAGTTAAAACTTGTAGGAGAAATTTTCTTTCTGCTCTATGAGGATGTGAAAGTCCTGACCTTCTGTCTGATTGGCCCTGTGCTGATCACATGCACTCTCCCAAGAAAAAAAAAACTTTCTAGCAATTCACACCAAACTGATCATGTGCATGTGACTACAGGTTCAGTCTGTATCAGGTGGTCATTTCAACAGGAGGAGGGGCAGAGAAGACAGGATCAAACAGCCTTTTTACACAATGCAGAGGAATAACCCTTAGGTTCCACAGTGAGTATAACAAGCATGCTTTACTGCATATACAGACTGATTTTACTGTTGTAGGTTTAGTAACACTTTAAGCTTACTTTCATGTAATGAGCTAAACAAATGTTCTAGAAAACTCAGTTTTGTCAAAACTTTGGAAATTATTCTTGTGTTCATTGAGATGTTCATTAACCTCCCTAGCGGTTTGATTATGTCCATATTTCTGTGCTCAAAGCGGTACTTTTTTTGCATGGAAATATGTATTTTTTTTATTGTAGGTCTGTAATTTTTAGGAATAACCCACTGAAATCTGTCTGAACACTAGTCTAGTAAACATCCTGGGTATGATAAAATTTGAAACACGAAATCATAAATTATAATTTAATAAATAATCCAAAAAAATAATATAATAATAAATTTAATTCAATAATATAATCAAACCAAAAACACTGAAATTTGAAATATAGCGCCAAGTTCGCACATCACTGAGCAAAGTCGCAAAATCGTTTTCAGTGTCTGATGACAAATTTCCCCACGAATCATCACTCAATTCTGCAAGTGGTTCTAATTTACTATCGCTGTTCTCTAGCTGGTCTAAAACCGATTTTGACCTTAAGGGACACTTTTTGGACACCATGGACATTTGTCAGTTTACAGGCAATAAGAACAGTAAAAATGTAGGCAGGGCACAGGACAAAGCACTAGGGACAAAATGTATGTGAAATGGTTTGATACAGTAATGTTTTACTATGTGATTTTAGTGAATGTCACTTTTTGTCATTTTCAAATTTCCCGCCGTTCCATCCCCCGTACGTCCTGACGCTCACAGGGGACGGAACCCAGATAACAGATGCCGGCATCCGCCGGAGGACATTACAGGGGACACTGCAGGAGGGACATCGCGGGAGCGCAGGACAAGGTAAGTGAAGAACAGATGGCGGAGCAACTTGCATGGTAAGCCCAAGTGTAGCTCGGGGTCACCGCTTTTGGTACTGAAACTTTACCCCGAGCTACATTCAGGAATACCGTCAGGGAGGCTACAATTGTACTTTTCAGAAGGGGTGTACTCATTTATGTGGAGCACTGCATATAAAAAAAAAAGTGGCATTTTTGTTTTTTTAGAAAATAATAGGGAAATCATGTTCCTGCAGTTCCTGACTGCTCATGCCCAGCCTTTGGGTTCTTTCTTTTATTTCTCACTAGAGAAGTTTTAGTCTTGCTGTAGTCTTAATATTCTACTTTGAAGTATAAGCTCCTTCTAGTGGCTTCTGTAATCACTTAGGATTTGAGGTACAGGATTCTCTTCACCAGAATCCCAATAAATTGGTGGGAGAAAATAAATCCACCAGTATTCATCCAAAATTGAGATTTCAATTTTGGTTAGACTGTAGCTAATGTGGTTAATTGGTTCCATTAAAAGACAACCCCCACCAATTCAATTTGCAAAGAAATTGTATTTAAAGGCATAATGCTAGTTGAAACAAATTTGGATCACACAATAATTTGTACAAGCGATTATAACTAAAAACCTGAGACAGAATCATATAATCCCACCCAAATAAATCATACCTTCTGATAATAAGGATTATACATTTCAGCAGAAATGTCTCATGGCTGCTGTCACCTACAGGAGGCGGATCCCTTCGTGCGTGTGCACGAAACACGTCAGAGAGGAGCCTACGTGCTGACGTCAAGCCACTGCTTCCATATTGATGATCCAGCGGCCATCTTTGTAACTGGGTTACCCTGTTTTATTGCTCCACGTGGATGCTTCATATACTTGATAACAATACTGCACCATAAGCGCTTTCTTTCTCTGGGCTCTGTTTGTGAGCTGTTCCCTTCAAGGTGGGGCAAGTTTTATTGCTGAGGATTGAGCGATCTGTTGGGAGAATCTCCTGTCTCTGCAGCATGAGAGCTCTGCATTTCCTTTGCTTATACCTGGCGGTGGTTAAGGCTGACCTGCTGGAGAAGTTTTTATTACTGTTCTTATTGCGCATTAAATATGTGCTTCTGATGAGTGCATTAGAAGGAAGAATTTGTCATGGATTCACCTATCACTTGATGTCACAATCAATTTTTGGACACTATAAAAGAATTTGATCATTGGTCATTCAATCATTTCATTTATCTGTATCATTTATCTATTTGCTCAATTAAGTCCCTATTCATATGTTGTCACCATAACGCTGCACTTTATTCATTTATAATACCTATCTATATATTGTCACCATAGCGCTGCACTTGATTCACATATAATATATATTATTTGCCCGCCTAAGTCACCATTTATATGTTTATATTATAGCGCTGCACCATAGTGCTGCAATTTCTTTTATGTCATTCGTTATAGCGCTGCACTTTCTTTTTACCAGGGATGCACCAAAAAGTTTTTTTTTTAAACCGAGTACTAGTACTGATACTCAACTGTTTCTCAAGTACTCGCCGATACCAATATCTAATTTTAGTGTCATCTGACATTTTGTCATGCAAATACAATTCCCGTTGGAATTGCACCTGAACCGCTGAACGAAATTGCACCGGACAGGGCTTTGAAATCACAATGCAAATGCTTAATATCAGCACTGGTACTCATGCAAATGCTTAGTATCAGCACCGGCATCAGTGCAACACTAATGTGGCGAAAGAAAGACAATGGGGGGATTTACTAAAATTGGTGCACACAGAAGTACTCTTTAGAGGATCACTGGATGAGATTGTAAGATTGTAAAGGTTGATACAGGTTAAAAGTACTTCTCTTCCCCAGGCTTGTGAAAGCAAGAGTCAGCAGGATCACGAGTACTCCCACCTTTCTTGTTGCTTTCATGTTGCTAAGTGTTCCCTTCAAACCTCAAGAACACAAAATCCACTGACAAATCTTAATCAACATCAAGGTCCCTAGCTGCAGACTCAAATATCCCTGCACGTTTTTCTGCGTGAAACCTTCTGGGCTCCCTTTAATTCAGTGGCAAATATTCACTAGACTATTCAAGGACGATTAGCCCAGGGAGACATCATCCTGGTTCCCCTTGAAATAGTTCCAAGGATTTATTACAGTCTGTTATGCAGCCTATTTTGGACCTAAGACCTGGTTCACACTAATGCGGTTCAGGAAACGCAGCTAATCCTGTGTGTTTCCCACACTGCATTGCAGTCGCACGACGTCCATGCAATCTGGTGCGGGTGTCAATATTAAATTATTGATACCCCAAAACAGTTTGCAAAACGCAGTGTGATTTCCAGAAATCGGATCACATGGGTGTGAACACCCATGCAATGCGAGTCAGGTGTGGGGAAAAAATTGTCCTGCACCTTTGCTGCGGATGCGATGCGATTTGAACCATACAAATTGTATGGCTCAAATTGCACCTCACAGACATCGCATGTAATTTGCACAGGAATGCAGTGTGATTCCTATGCAAAGTACATGCGGTGTTCCGCACCGCACAAGTGTGAACCTTGACTAAAGGTTCTATTGCCTTTGTTTGCACCCCCCATCCCCAAAAGATCAAATGGAATCAATCTACTCTGTGATGGCTTTTCTTTTACCATTGTGAATTTTTTGGCTTCAGTAGACATCTATGATGTGTAGTTAGACAGCATATTTATTAGCCACCAGTGAGGTTTCCACTTTACCATAGGGGAAAGCCATTACCAGTTTGTAGCTCTCACACTTTCGGCTTGTTTTCAGCACCAAGGTTGTTCACCATGGTATTTGACCCAACGCTAGCACATTTCTGGTTCAATAAATGTTTTCTGATTTTTTTTTTTTTTTGCAAACATAACAGAATGCAAATAAATTGTGGAATAGTCAGGAATATAGCACCGAAAAATTCATGCAAAAAACAAGGGTAATAAAGTGAATTGTCTCTTAGATTGTAAGCTCCCAGGATCAGGGCCCTCCTGACCCTCTTGTATTGAACTGTATTGTTGCTGTATTGTCTCCCGTTATATTGTAAAGCACTGAGCAAACTGTTGGTGCTATATAAATCCTGTATAATAATAATAATAATAATTGATGTTGACATCCAGCTTCAGGTTGCTCTACAACAAGCAAGGCTGATGTATAAAGGAACTACAAATATGTGGTGGCTTGCTAAACAGAATCTTAATATAAATAGTAGTCAGACAGTGGTGATTACGGAATGGAGGAAAGGGAAAGCCAGTATAAGAGAAAAGAAGAGCTGGGGAAAAAGAAAAAGCCAAAGAGCTGCGGTCCAGCCCAATGCTAGCATTTTCATGCTTACAGGGCAAGCCTGTTATAGGTTACCTAGACAACCTACTTTAGTAGAAACAGTCATCAGTGGTCCTATTGACCAACAACATCACTCTTTGAAAGCTAGAGGAGTTAGGTTGGTTATTGAACATGCAGAATTAGATCTCCAAATAAGAAAATCGAACGAGCTCTCAGAGGAGAGAGCAGCTAGCATGAAAGAAAATAACAAAAATGAAGAGCAGCGCTTCAATATAAAAAAAAAGGTCAAAGTATGGTAAACATTCAATAAGTGAATATAGAAATTAAAGTTCATCAATGTGCAGTAATGCAAACTAAAATATACTAATATACAAAAATCTTATTATGTGCAACAGATTAGCAAAGTATGTGCAAAACAGCAAAAAAGTGCCAGTGCTCATTCAATGACTATAAGTCCATTAAAAGTCCCATATAACATATACATAATCCACTTTAAGACTCTATTGGTGATGGTGGCTCCCAGTGAGATAAATCACTCGCTGTGCAACAAAGGTGTCATGATCCTTTACCCTATGCACTCACTAGATAGCTAATTCACATTAGCATGTAACAGTCATTTATCCAGGCACATGAGGTCAGTTCTCAGATCTCCACTCAGATAATTTCTGCCCAGCAAAAGCCCTGAAATGCTGATATTCTCGTGTTTCCCACCAGCTATGGCAATGTTCTGCCAACCTCCTGATGAACAATCCACACTTCAAACTGCCAGCCACTTGCCAGGTCTCAGGAACCACTGGCAGAGGCAGTAGATACACTGTCTGTGGAATGGGTATCCCTTGATTTATGCACTTTCTCTTTTAAAGTTGTTACCTCAAGTGGTTCAGAGGATTTAAGTAGTGGGCATTCCAGTGATTGTGAAAGCTCCAAACTGAAGGACCTGGTACCAATAGGCTCTGCCAAAGTTGCTGTCCCACGGTCTGATCTTACACCCTGCTTCTCAGTCACAGGCTTGTTGAAGCTAAGATGCTGAGGAACAGGGAGATCTCAGGCTTTATGATTCCTACCATGCTCAAAGCTTCTAACTCTTCACCTTGCAAGATTTACCACGAAACCTGAAAAGCTTTTTTTTTGTCTGATTCCTTATTTGTTATTTTTAGAAGGTCCCTAAAAGGGTGCTCCGGCTTGTGGTTCTCAGTGGTTTCACCATACTATTGTTCAAGTGTATAAGTTAAAGGATAAGGTACCCCTTTTTCTGCTTCAATAGAGCAGCGAGTGCTTTTTTGGGCCTTTCACGATTCGTTATCTCTCCCATGTTTGTAAGCCTGTGTCTTAGGTTTCAGCCCAAGTAGTACAAGGTGAATTTGTTAGCATCAGCATATGCTAGCCTCAGTCGCAAGATATTACAGTAGGTTTTGTGGGCTCCCACACTGAGCTCTGGTTTGCCTGTTGCTCTTGGGATGTGAACACTTGACTGCTGTTTGAGAACTACTTGGTCATATCCCATGGGTAGGCCTTCCTATTTTGGTGACAAATGTCCGATCCTCCTGTTGGTGACAGTATAACCAATGGCTCAAGAATAAACATTGCTATTTCCTTGAGTATAAGCCAAGAAAGGGATTTTACATGAAATACAAAAATCCCATTTTTAGGTTTCAACACCTCTCAGCCACAGGAAGAAAAACAAAGATAGCATGGACTCTATCCACCCTGGATTCCCAAGAAACCAAGCTGAGAATGCCAGCATCAGCACTGTAGTGGGATTTGCCCCCTCCTTCCTTTCTCCCTATGGATTCTCCTGGACACTGGGGGTTGCAAGGACTCTTCAGAAACAGATGTGCTTAGCCACGTGGACTCTGACTTTTTATAGGAGCCTTCTTCTCAGCAGCAATCACAGATCCAGTAATTCCCTTCAGACAAGTGTCCTCCTTGCTTTCAAATGTTTGAGGACCATGAAATACCCCCACTGAATGTGTCTGTCTTCTAAATGACCCTTACCCTTATGCTAGATTCTTAGCCCACAAAAAAGACTTTTGCTTTTTGATAATTTTTTTTAAAATAAATTTCAGCTCTTTGGACCTCTGTCTATCTGATAACCTTGTGCATTGGTTTCGGTCATATGTGATCTCACTTCTAGGTGGTGGAGGCTAGCGGCTCCAAGCCTCTTTTTCAGTGCAAAAGAAATAGAGGGGCTTACTTGGGACCAGAAGGTCATGGTCCAGGTATCACAGAAAGAGCAAGGCAAGGGTTTCTACTTGCATGTGTTTGTGATGAAGAACCATTAGTCAAGTTCTGACTTATTCTCAATTTCAAGCCCCTAAACAAGTTGATAAAGTACAAAAAATTTGGGATGGTTTCCATATTTTCTATCAGAACTGTCTTCCAGCAAATTGTCACATGGCAACTATAGATCTAAGGGACACATACTTTCATATACCCATCACACAGAGCTCTAAGAATTTGTTTTCAGCAGGCAATCAGAAAACAGACGGAGGCTCATCGCACTTCCATTTGGTCTCTCCTCAGTCCCAAAAATATTCTCCAAGGTGGTAAGGGCTCCACTGAACCTGCATTCCATCATGATATTTTTTTAACTGGACAATCTACTTTAAACAGCTGCTTTTCAGAATCATTTGATTTTGAACTTTGAGTTCACCCAGAAGTGGCTGGAAGGTCTGGGATGGCTAATCAGCCTGGAAAAGTTGAACCCTCCCAGGTGGTGACCTTCCTAGGTTACATTCTTCACTCTCAAGATCAGAAAATCTATCTCTCAGAAGAGAGAGTGTGGAAAATAGGTCTTCGCCTGGGCATTTGTCAGCAGGGGCGGACTGACAACTCATGGGGCCCCCGGGCAATAGTGGATCACGGGGCCCCTGTGTCAAAATCAAAAAGGTATAAAATTGTTCCACAGAATCTCTGGAGACCTTTGTGCATCTACCTACAAAAGTGAAACAGTTTGTGGTGGTGGAGAAATCACTACAACATAGTAAGGTGTTTTGAATAAGCCTTACTTGTGTTGAAAAGGGTAACCACAGATGCCAGCACCTGAGTGTGGCGGAACCGTTCCACCTGGGCTTCCTCGTGCGGAGCGATGCATCTCAGCCAATGGTCCCCTTTTCTGGCAAGTCTTCCAGCGCTCTGCCAAGGCGGGTATTAGAGCTCAAAGAAAATCCTTCCCCAATATCCCAAACCACGAGTCGGAACTTCATGTAGGGTGAATGAATGAATGCTTTAGTGAACACAGCTCAGTTTATACAGCACATCCTGGCAGTAATCTCTGCCCCCTTCACCCCCACCAGGCAGTCTGGCACCTGGTTTTCCCCACCCACAACAAAACTCTACAGCACAACACAACACAACAGCACAGTATGAAATCTAGGAAAGTGAAAGACTACAAGTTCACATTACCCTAAACAAGCAGTGTAGAATGCCTGTCTACATAACATCTGCTAAACATATACAGCTTTAAAAAGTGTAAAACAGGAAGACCACTTAACAATGGGATAAAACTGGAACAGAAAGGGCAAAATGTTATCACAAAGTTCCTCACACTGAGCACATTTTGAGAACAGTTTAGCCCAAGGTCAGTAGACTTGGGGAGAAGCAAACTCCATTTCAAACTGGAGAATTGAGCGCAGTAGCCAATTCCTTGGTTCTATGGGCAATGATCAGATAATGTCACATGGTATTAGCGCAGTGGTTTTTCAAATGCAACTGTTTTGGAAAAATACGCTTTAATTTTAATGCACAAAACACAACATGGCACTCAACTGTTTGGCAAAATATAAAAGATGATGTTATGCCAATTAAATAGATACCTAACATGTTATACTTTAACCGCCTTCCACCCGCCATATAAGGAAATGACGGGTGCAAGGTGGTTCTCTCATTCTGGGAGGACATCATATGACGTCCTCCCACTCTAACCGCGCGTGCGCGGCTTCGGGGGTGCGCAGTACTGCGATCGGTGGTGCACTGTGTCCTTTGGACACAGCGGATCACGGATCAACGGAAAGAGCTGAAGACGTCGGCTCTGTCATGTGATCAGCTGTGTCACCTATTAGTGCTGCCAATCAGTGCCACCTATCAGTGCCAGTCAGTGCCGCCTATCAGTGCAGTTAGTGCGCCTATCAGTGCTTGTCAGTGCTGCCTATCAGTGCCACCTAACAGTGCCAGTCAGTGCCACCTAACAGTGTCAGACAGTACCGCCTATCAGTGCCATATATGAGTGCTGCCTTTCAGTGCCCATTGGTGATGCCTATCGATGCCCATCTGTGCCACCTACCAGTGCCTCCTCATCAGTGCCCATTAGTGCCACCTATCAGTGCCCATTAGTGCAGCCTATCAGTGCCCATCACTGCAGCCTCATTAACGCACATCAGTGAAGGAGAAAAATCACTTATTTACAAAATTTTATATCAGAAACTAAGAAAAAACTTTTTTTTTTTTTTTAATTTTCAGTTGTTTTTGGTTTGTTTAGCAAAAAATAAAAAACAGAGAGGTGATTAAATACCACTAAAAGAAAGCTCTATCTGTCTTTAAAAAAATTATAAAAATTTCATATGGTTACAGTGCTGCATGACCGCACAATTGTCATACAAAATGTGACAGCGCTGAAAGCTGAAAATTGGCCTGGGCAGGAAGGAGTTATAAGTGCCCTGTAGGCAAGTGGAATGGCAACAAATTACGGTACTTAAAAATCTCCATAGGCAATGCTTTTAAATCCTCTACAGATTACCAATTTAGATTTACACAGGTGGTCTGGTGCTAGAATACTTGCTCTTGCTATAATGTTCACGCAGATACTTTACATATGTGGTGCAAACATTGTGTACACATGCATGCGTGACCTACTTATGCACCCCCCTTTGGGAGATGAAAGCAGTTTATATTTTTTATTTTTATTTCTTTTATTTACATTTTTTTATTTTTACACTGTCTCTTCAATTTGTTTAATTGCTTTTATGGCTATCAAAAGGGCTGATCTTCATCCCTTGTGATAGTTGGAACAATGACAGGCCAGTAATGGTTTGTTTACATTAGACTGCAAACCAAAGTGACAAAATACTTGCTTCCAGTTTGTTAGATCATAGAAATGATCGTTATGATCCTCGATCATCTCTGTCATCAGCCAACGGAACTGCCACCTTCATTCCTGGGCTCTCTGTGGGAGTCAGATCTCCTGTCAAGTCAAGATCAGGTGCTTGGGAGAAATGTCCTCCCAGCAGTAATCCCTCCCTTATCTAATACATTCTTGCTTATCTTCTCACATACTGTCCTGAAAGACAACTGGGGGAAAACCTGAGTTAGACTTACCAATATCTCTAATTCCTGTAGTCTTCCAGGACAACAGGATTCCTACCCCTCAGTGTGCCATTTGCTGGTGAAATCTGGTGGAAAGAGTGGGTACTTAGACCTGTCTTTACCCAGAGCTAGTATTTGGAAAAGGCTTGACCTTACTGCAGGTGGCGAAGGTCTCCTTCTGTTCCCATGATGGACCATAATACAAACAAAATATGGGTCTTCCACTATCACCAGATCAGCATCTGTAGAGGTAAACAAATGTGTATATAGCCCCTTGTTGGTGTGAGAAGAATTATTAAATGATGAGGATGACTTATTAACCTTTTTTTTCTAGGTGGCTAATGTGGACAAATCGGTTAAAGCAAAGAAAAAGTGTGTAATTGCAAAACCAAGCTCCCAGACTCTTACAATAAAATGCATTTTAAATATGTATTATGGTCATAGCAAGCTCAGAATCCTCTGTCATTATGAAAGACTTTATGATATTCATGCGAAATGAAAAGTCTCAACCTTTCAATATTTCATGTATATTTTTGCACATCTAGGACCCTTCACATCTAAATCTATCCAGCAAGTTAGCAAACCTAGGGCTCCAGGCTCAAGCCCATCCTGAGGGTCACCCCTGACAGCAGATCCTGGAGTTGGAGACTGCGAGTCTCAAATATAGTGGAAGGAGAGAATTCAGTTGCTTTATCCAGGAGAATTCAGTTGCTTTATCCAGGAGAGTCCGTTTCAGATAAGGAAGATGCCAGTGGTGTTAGCGCAGCTTGATATCTTTTTCCAACTGAAGAAACTGATGAGCTATTAAACACCATGAAAAAAAAAAAGATCCTGAAAAAAAGCTGCACGTCTAGGTCTTATAAACAACACTTCCTATTTAATACTAAAGAAGAGTTATTCTTAAAATATTCTAGATTAGACACAGCTCTCTCCTAGGTTTAAGATACAGACTTATTCTTAGAGCATTCTCGTGACAGGAAGATCAAATATTTCACTTAAAAAAGCCTGGGATATTTCTGCTTTTTCTTTAGGCCTAGTTTTGCTTCCATTTGCGTGGCAAGAACTTGGAGAGGCTCATCTATCTTTTCTCCACCAGCACACCACCTCACCAGATCCAGGGATCTTTACTCTTGGTCGCCAAATCAATAGCCTTTCTGACTAGTTCTGCAGTAGAATCCAATAAGGCCACAGCTAGAGTGATGGCTCTTAAAGGGCTATATGGCTCGAGGCCTGGTATGGAAATTTAACCTCCGAAAACAGATGATGTGGAAACCCCTTTGAGGGAAATATGCCTAAAAGTACTGGTCTAGAGGCCATTTTGTCCTGTTCTTTGAAAAAAGGGAAATAAAAGTTCTATACCCAAAAACCCCTTTGTGGTAAAACCAAAAAAAAACAAGCCCCATGCGAATTAATCCCAGTTTGGGCAGGCTACCGAATGAGATTGTCCTTTGAAGAGCAAAGGTAAAGGTGTGCCCTGTTTGCTTCTGATGGTTCCCTCAAAAAGAATAAGTGACACCAGGCCAGGATTAGGAGGAAGGATATCTCTGTTTTACAATCAGAACTAAAAAATTAACAGACAGCCATTTGGTTCCTCCAATTATGAGAGAGGGTTACCGTTTAGAGTTTACAGGTTCCCCACCCAAATACGCTTTCAATACCAATTTCTTGTGAGTCCCAAGGAAAGCAGAAATGCTGAAAAGCCTTTTTACACATCTGAAGGAGGCACAGATCATTATGCAGGTCCTAGGAAATCAGCTGTTTCAACAGTTCTATTACCATGTATTTCTCGATCAGAAACCTCCTGGGAATTACAGAATGATTATAAACCTGAGAAGAAATATAAACCATCAAACCCTGTAGTGAAAAGGTGATCAATTCATTACAGATCAAACTGTTTGTCACACTAGCGAGATGTGGAACATCAAAATCTTTGAAAAGGGGATAAGTCCCCAGCAATCCAAATCTTATATCACATAGTGATCTGCTCTTGCTGACAAGGAAAACCCTCACCAATTCCCTCACAGGGGTTCTTTCACCTTAAAATTTTAACCCTTACTACAAAGGTCAAATGCGCATGTTGCTTTAAGTTGGTTCGAAGCCTCAGGCATGAATAATGAACAAAGCATATCCTTTTATAGTGTGTGTCTCTAGAGCACCAAGTGTTATTTCTGTCTGTTGCCTTGTCCCTCTGCTATCTGTATGAGACACTTCTGACAAGCTTTCCTGACACCAAGAGAAAAAAGGTGACAGGGGAAGAAGTTCCAGCACACAGCCTGTGACTGACATCCTCAGCTCTGCTCCTGTGTGTGCTGTGTGAAGGGGGGGGGGGGTGTCCCTTCCCTCCAATCAGTTCTCACAGCTCTCCTCACTGAACTCTGCAGAGTGTAATTTCAGCTCTTTGCCCCCTTTTTTCTGACAACTCAGACAAGATTTATAAATTCTGGACTTTGAATGCTGATAGAAACATGGAAAAGCATCAGAAGCAGCAGTTGTCAGGGCGGAGCCTGACTATGGCGGCGGCGGAGAGCTCGTGGTAGGAGCTCCCGCACGGGGCTCCTCCGACCGACCCCCCCTTGGACCCTAAAATTCCCCCTTTGAATATGGAGCCCTAGAAGGTAGTGACCTACCTCGACCGGACGGGCTCCCTTGGCTGGGCGGCTGCCCGTGGCAGGGAGAGCTGGGAGCGGAGACCAGTGGAGAGAGGCAGGGATGCTGAGCCTGGGCGCCGTACCTGGTTGCCGGGAAACAAGGAGGCGCGGCCGGGACACGTGACCGGCCGCGGTGCATCTCTGGGAGGCAAGGAAGCCGGCCGCCCGGCCGGAGGCTGACAGGGAGCAGGAGAGACTCCGTTTTGCCGGACGACCTGCTTCCCCCGGAGCCCTGGCAGGCGGTCGATGGTGAGCCTGCCCAAACAACAAAGAAAGAAGAGTCTGGAGGAAAGTCCTGGAGGGTCCCCCTGAGAGGACAAGAGCTGACCCACCAGAGGAGCTGAAGGATGGAGCCTGGAGCCGTCTCACGAGAAGCGTTGGAAGGGTGAGTGAGTCTGGCGGTGGCCCCAAATATAAAAACTGTATAGAGCTGGTGGCAAGCAGGGAGAGAGAGAAAAGGGGGGGACCCCCAGAGAATAAGAATAAAATAAGGAGAAGAACGCAAGGCGCAGGCAAAGGCATACAGAAAGGTGGGAAGACAGAGCCGGGAATTCTATTTCTACACCTTATTGATTTCTTTGTTTTGCAAAGTACAAGTTTATGAGAGAGAAAATAAAAGTTATAGAAGAAATTAAAAATAAAAGTGCAAAAGGAACCAGGCCTAAAGGGACCCAAACGGGGACAATTAAAAAGTATACATCCCAGGGAAATGTGACCCCAGAAAGGCCCCAGAGCAGAAATGACAAAGGAGATTCTGATTTAAGTATGCAAAATAGTCCTAAACAATCAATGGAATTGGATATTAGTAATCAACAAATATCAGAGATAGAAAAAGATCTACAAATCCCAAATAAAAAAGAGATGACAGAAATGTTTAAAGATCTGGAGAGAACAATAAAGCAAGAAATGGTAAATATACGGAATGACCTGGGGCAGTTGTTGCTAAGAGTGGAAGAAACGGAGCAGAAAGTTAAAAACCAGACCCAGATTATTTCCGAATTAGAGAAGAAGATAATTAACATGGAAAAAGTTCAGGAAAAATTGCAGTACAAGGTGGAAATTCAAGAGAATAGAGAAAGAAGGAGAAACACAAGGATAAGAGGGGTTCCGGAAAGTTTAAAAGGAGAAATATTGGAAGAGATGGTTTGCAAAATACTGAACTTTATAATGGGAAACTCTGAAATGGAAAGGACTAATATAGAAGGAATCTCCAGAAACGGGAAACTCCAGGGGAATTATGAGAAGGACAGGCCGAGAGACATACTTGTTAAATTTTATGAATTACAGCAAAGGGAAAGAATCTGGAGGAAAATTAAGGGAAACCAGTAATAAAGTATGGAGAAATGGATATTCAAAATATATGCGGACTTGTCATCAGAGACTCTCCGGAAGAGGAGAGCCCTGAGGCCTTTGCTGGAGCAGATGAAAAAACAGAAGGTGCAATATAGATGGGGAGTTCCGGAGTGTTTAATAGGATGGAAAAATGGAATAACAGCCCATTTGAGGTTCCCAGAGGACTTGAGATATTTTTGCGATAGACTTGAAATGCAGAAAATTGAAATAAATGGTTGGGAAGAAGAATCTGGGGGAAATAGATCAAAAAAAGGGGAGAGGTGGAGACGGGTGGAGGGGGGGGGAGGAGGGGCGGGGAGGGGGGTAAGGGGAGAGAAGTTTTTTTTCTGTGTTTTCTTTTGGTTTTTTTTTTTTCTCTTCTTGCTCCCGTTCCATCGCCTTTTTTCTCCCTTGTCCCTCCAGCTTGACTCCTTTTTCCTTCTATAGAAGTATAAGTAGAGAGGGGGTCAAGGGGGGGATTCGGAGGGAGGGGAGGCTGCCCATGGGAGGAGTGAAGCCCTAAGGGTTAAGTCAAAGGTGGATGTTATTTCCACAAATGATGGTTAGGCAAAGTGAAGACCTAAAAAGAGGGGGGAGAGGGGATTGAGGGGAGTATTGAGGGAGGGGGGGAGGGATAGGGGGAGGGAAAAGGGGAGTAGGATAAAAACGCTCTATAGGAATAAGAAAGAGGAAGGGAAGGAGGAAGAGAGAGATGGTAGGAAAAGAGTAAGATGGAAGAAAATGTCAGGGCTCCCAGGTGTGACCAGAGGTGTGTGGCTGACGCAGGGAAACGCAGACCTCAGATATGTTATAAACAATATAATTTATTAACACTAACAATACAAACATAAACGCAGTGCAATACTAAAACATAATACAGTGCAACCAAACCAACCACCCACAGATAACAGTACATACAAGCAAGCGTCGTCAGGCAGGCCGGGTCAATATCAATAGGGCAGGTAGGTACAGGGGGAGCAAGCGGAGATTGGTCGGGGTCACAGGCCAGGTTCAGCAGGTAGCAAGTAGCGTAGTACAGAGGGTCAGGCAGAGGGATGGTCAGGGTCACAAGCCAGGGATCAGAACAGGTAGCAAGCAGCGTGGTACAGAGGGTCAGGCAGAGGGATGGTCAGGAGCGAGCCGGGATCAGAGCAGGAGAAGTCAGCAGCGGTTCAGAAACAGGATGCAGGACAGACACAGGATACAAGGCCCAGGGACAAACACAACACCAAGGCAGAGTCTGTGGGTCTGGCCATCCCTTAAATACCCCAGCATAATCAGTTCCAGGTGTTAGCTGGCTGCAAAGTTGAGTCTCTGATTGCTGGGAGCATCCGCTGGCCAGCCCTGGTACTGCAGATCAAAAGGCAGGTGAGTCCCACCATTGCTGGCCAGTCCATTCCTGACAGTACCCCCCCCTCAAGGAGTGGCCTCAGGACGCTCCAAACAGTCCTAGCTGGGAAAAATGTTCCACCGCCCAGGTCTGGTAACTGGCGGGATATCAAAGACTGGCACACCGGGCAGGACTCCGGGCAGCGGTACACCGGGCAGAGGCACATCGGGCTGGACTCCGGGCAGAGGCACACCGGGCAGAGGCACACCGGGCAGAGGCACATCGGGCTGGACTCCGGGCAGAGGCACACCGGGCTAGACTCCGGGCAGAGGCACACCGGGCTGGACTCCGGGCAGAGGCACACCGGGCTGGACTCCGGGCAGAGGCACATCGGGCTGGACTCCGGGCAGAGGCACATCGGGCTGGACTCCGGGCAGAGGCACATCGGGCTGGACTCCGGGCAGAGGCACATCGGGCTGGACTCCGGGCAGAGGCACATCGGGCTGGACTCCGGGCAGAGGCACATCGGGCAGGACTCCGGGCAGAGGCACATCGGGCTACCAGGAAGCAGCAGGCAGCGGGCCACCAGGCGGAGCGGCAGGCACACCGGGCCCCAGGGGCGGCGGCGGCAGGCACCGGGCCCCCGGGCGGAGCGGCAGGCACTGGGCCCCCGGGCGGAGCGGCAGGCACCGGGCCCCCGGGCGGGGCGACAGGCACCGGGCCCCCGGGCGGGGCGACAGGCACCGGGCCCCCGGGCGGGGCGACAGGCACCGGACCCCCGGGCGGGGCGACAGGCCTCGGGCTTCCGGGCGGAGCGGCGGGCGCCGGACCCCCAGGCGGAGCTACAGGTCTCGGGCCCTCAGGCGGAGCGGCGGGGGCGCCGGACCTCCAGATGGAGCGACAGGTCTCGGGCCCTCAGGCGGAGCAACAGGTCTCGGGCCCCCAGACGAAGCGGCGGGCACCGAGTCCACCAGGCACGACAGTGGGCACGAGTCGTCTGGCAAGACTGCGGGCACCGAGTCAACTGGCGGAACAGCGGGCATCGAGTCAACTGGCGGAACTGCGGGCACCGAGTCGTCTGGCAAGACTGCGGGCATCGAGTCAACTGGCGGAACAGCGGGCACCGAGTCGTCTGGCAAGACTGTGGGCACCGAGTCGTCTGGCAAGACTGCGGGCACCGAGTCAACTGGCGGAACAGCGGGCATCGAGTCAACTGGCGGAACAGCGGGCATCGAGTCAACTGGCGGGACTGCGGGCACCGAGTCGTCTGGCAAGACTGCGGGCACCGAGTCAACTGGCGGAACAGCGGGCATCGAGTCAACTGGCGGAACTGCGGGCACCGAGTCGTCTGGCAAGACTGCGGGCACCGAGTCGTCTGGCAAGACTGCGGGCACCGAGTCGTCTGGCAAGACTGCGGGCACCGAGTTGTCTGGCAAGACTGCGGGCGAGTCGAGTGGCGGAAAGCTGGCGGAACAAGACTGCGGGCACCGAGTCGTCTGGCAAGACTGCGGGCACCGAGTCGTCTGGCAAGACTGCGGGCACCGAGTCGTCTGGCAAGACTGCGGGCACCGAGTCGTCTGGCAAGACTGCGGGCACCGAGTCGTCTGGCAAGACTGCGGGCACTGAGTCGTCTGGCGTCTGCACCGCGGAACAGCGGGCACCGAGTCGTCTGGCAAGACTGCGGGCACCGAGTCGTCTGGCAAGACTGCGGGCACCGAGTCGTCTGGCAAGACTGCGGGCACCGAGTCATCTGGCAAGACTGCGGGCACCGAGTCGACTGGCGGAACAGCGGGCACCGAGTCGTCTGGCAAGACTGCGGGCACCGAGCAACTGGCGGAACAGCAGGCTTCGAGTCGTCTGGCAAGACTGCGGGCACCGAGTCGTCTGGCGGAACAGCGGGCACCGAGTCATCTGGCAAGACAGTGGGCTCCGAGTCAACAGGCACGACAGTGGGCACCGGGTCATCAGGTATTGGATTGTCTGGCTCGACAGCGGGCATCGGGTCACCAGGTATGACAGCGGGCACTGGGTCACCAGGCATCAGGTCATTTGGCTTGCCAGCGGGCACCGCGTCATCTGGCAAGGCAGTGGGCACCGGGTCACCAGGTATGACAGCGGGCTCTGAGTCAATTGGCACGACAGCGGGCACTGGATCAGGTACCGGATCATCTGGATCAACAGCGGGCATCGAGTCAACTGGCCTAATAGGATCGTCGGGCTGGATCAGTTCATCATGCTGAGTAGCGGCATCAGGCTGAATGCAGGCATCAGGCTGAATGCAGGCTTCAGGCTGAGTAGAGGCTTCAGGCTGAGTAGAGGCATCAGGCTGAAGAGAGGCTGAAGAGAGGCATCAGGCTGAGTAGAGGCTTAAGGCTGAGAGAGGCTTCCGGCTGAAGTAGAGGCATCCGGCTGAAGTAGAGGCTTCAGGCTGAAGAGAGGCATCAGGCTGAGTAGAGGCATCAGGCTGTAGAACCACTGGGAAGGCAGGTTCTCTGAGTCACGGAAGGCAGGTTCACCGGTTTGGATACTGGCAGGATGGTACTGGTTGGAAAGAATTTTCGCTTTTTTCTGGTTTTAACTACTGGAGCACTGCAAGTAAACGCAGGTCTGCAAACGAATGGAGCAGCTGGAAGACAGAGAAGAACTGGAGGATGGAACAGGAGGAGGGGCAAGCAGTTGCTACAGAGGGCTTTTTTACAGGGTTAAAGGCAGGATAGGTGCAGCGAGTGGGAACAGGGTACTGACATGCGGTAGATAGCAGGCTGTAACTGGAGGAGCTGTTGGAATGCAGGAATACAGCTTTGAGGAAATAGATTAGAAGCAGGACTGGGTTTTTGTAGGCTGACTGAGGCTGGGTGCAACAAATCTGTCCATGTCTGCAGTATGGGTTGAACAAAGCTGAGCTTACACAAAGCCTGTCTGACCAAAGACTGCACTGCGTTTATACAATCTCTTAGTGTCTGTGGTGAACATGCAGGAATAATGCTCCAGAAAGTAACCCACATCATCCTCTAATAACCATACCAGGGACTCTACCTGGTCTGCACTAAATGGTGGCAAAAATTCATCCCTGCATTCGGGGGAACCAGATGAAACCAACTCAGCACAAACCTCAATCAATGGCTGCACCTCAGAGAACTCTGTGCCCTGATCTACTAGAACATGAGCGAGCCGTATACATTCTAGCAGTTCATCCCGGGGATACTCCTTCAGAGTTTGATAAGCATACTCCTGTCATCAAACACTAGCAGATATAAATACACAACCCTAATCCAGATCCATCCTTCCCAGCAACAAGCCAAGATGGCTTCCCTGTGCAGCCACTTCTGGTCAGGAGTGGCCTTGGGTGTAATGTCAGGGCTCCCGGGTGTGACCAGAGGTATGTGACTGACGCAGGGAAACGCAGACTTCAGATATGTTATATAAACAATATAAATCTCTGCAGCACTCCGCGAATCAGGCCTGTATGATAGAGTGGCCAGACGGAAGCCAATGCTCACTAAAAGGCAAATGGCAGCCCACCTGGAGTTTGCCAAAAGGCACCTGAGGGACTCTCAGACCATGAGAAAACAAAACTCTCTGGTCTGATGAAACAAAGATTGAACTCTTTGGCCTGAATGCCAAGTATCATATCTGGAGGAAACCAGGCACCGCTCACCACCTGGCCAATACCATCCCCTTTCAGTGAAGCATGGAGGTGGCAGCATCATGCTGTGTGGATGTTTTTCAGGGGCAAGAACTGGGAGACTTGTCAGGATCGAAAGAACACATTCACGAATTTTATCATTTTCCTTCCACTTCACAATTGTGTGCCACTTGGTCTATCACATAAAATCTCAATACAATACATTTAGGTTTTTGGTTGTAACATGACAAAATGTGGAAAATTGCAAGGGGTATGAATACTTTTTTCAAGGAACTGTATGTAGAAGTACTTGTACCCCCAAGTCAACAAATAAATAACTCCTTTATTGAAGGAAAGAAAAAAGTCAGAGTTCAAAATCTCTTCCATATTGGGTCATTTTTTTTATTAGTACAGGCTTGCATAGAACAGAGAATAAGTTGTCTACTGCAGCCCTGTCAGGGCTCCCGGGTGTGACCAGAGGTATGTGACTGACGCAGGGAAACGCAGACTTCAGATATGTTATAAACAATATAATTTATTAACACTAACAATACAAACATAAACGCAGTGCAATACTAAAACATAACACAGTGCAAACAAACCAAACCAACCACCCACAGATAACAGTACATACAATGCAAGCGTCGTCAGGCAGGCCGGGTCAATATCAATCGGGCAGGTAGGTACAGGGGGAGCAAGCGGAGAATGGTCGGGGTCACAGGCCAGGTTCAGCAGGTAGCGGGCAGCGTGGTACAGAGGGTCAGGCAGAGGGATGGTCAGGGTCACAAGCCAGGGATCAGAACAGGAGAAGTCAGCAGAGGTCAGAATCAAGCAGGGTCAGCAACGAGACAGGAACAGGAACAGGAACAGGAACGCAGGTTTACAAGATACAGGGCCCAGGAAAAAACACACACCAAGGCAGAGTTCTGCAGGTCTGGCCATCCCTTAAATACACCAGTATAATTAGTTCCAGGTGTTTGACTGGCTGCAAGGTTGAGTCTCTGATTGCTGGGAGCACCCGCTGGCCAGCCCTGGTACTGCAGCTCATAAGGCAGGTGAGTCCCACTATTGCTGGCCAGTCCATTCCTGACAAGCCCTCTGTACCTGGATGTGGTGAGAACATATGTACAGTGTCTTCTACCTTTATTTTTGATGATATGAATATTTCTGGTAATGCAACATTATCCTCTACTTATGTTGTCTGGAAATTTTAAAAAGGTACCAACTGGCACATAATGTTTTTTTTAATTCAATGGGAATCTCAATTTCAGGTTTCAAGTGTGCAGCTGAGGAGGGGGGAGTGTTACTTGTTGCTTAAATAAGCTGGGTGAAGGTGAAAAGGTTACGAAAACTGTCAATAACGTTTGTTTTTAAACTTTTATTATCTTTTAAAAGGATTGTGTTCTGATTTTGTATGTATTTTCTTTATTTATTATGGTAAAAACAAACACATCCTATAGTCATTTATAAATTAAATATTTAGAGATAATATTTAGAAAAATCAATTTTTGCCAGCAGGTGGAGCTTAGGGCTCCTTCCCACATGTTTTCCTCGATTTGTCTCGATTGCTCCTTTGTTGAAAAAAGCCTTTTGTTTACAGAGTTTAATAGCTCAAACTGAAATTTAGACTAGCGAATGAGCTAAAAAGAGTGACTCATTTCATGACTTTGCGTAACAAGAAAGAAAGAGCCTCCAGGTAGGAAGCTATTGTTATACTGACAAGACAGGGAGAGCTTCCAGGTAGGAAGCTATTGTTATACTGACAAGACAGGGAGAGCCTCCAGGTAGGAGGCTATTGTTATACTGACAAGACAGGGAGAGCCTCCAGGTAGGGGGGCTACTATTTTGGTGTCTCTTTAGGTGTGCTCTGAGAAGCCTTTTTCCTATGTGAAATGTTTACAGT